TGATTAAGTATATTCGATCATTTATTTTACTCTTTATAATAAATAATCGTTTACCATTTCTATTCAAGTAGATCACTTTTCCTAATCTTCAATGTGATTGCATCCCTACCTCCCTGCCCCCTCTTAGATGTCTACTTTCTTTTCTCTTTTCATAGTTTATTTGCTTTTTTTTCATTTTTTTTCTCTCAAAAAACGTTCTCTCTCTTTCACTGTTTTTTTTAAAAATGTGTCATTTCATTCAATCGTCCTCTAATCCCTAAGTACCATTATTTGTTTCAATGAATGAATGAATGAATGAAGTCTTGTTGACTTCTTTTTATACACCCGCATTACGTTTCATGCTTTTTCTTCATCGGTATAGTTCGCTTTTTTTTATTATTTAACGCCACCAACCTCTTTGGACTCAAGTGAAAGACACATTATTTATCTATCTATCTATCTATCTATCTATCAAGTGGTTGCTTCTATTTTATTCGTTGAAACTATACTAACTACACTATTGTACTAAGAATACTTTGAATTATATCACCATGTTCATATTGGCTTGATTCATTGTTTTTTTTTTTTTGCATTCCTCATTATGATTTGTACATTATTCGAATTTCATTAGATAAGGGAAGTGGGAGGGTGAGAGAGAGAGTGGTTTCTTTTTTTCACCCCCCCCCAACAAAAAAATCACCTTCCTAATCAATAGAAAAACGAACAAAAAAAAAATGGGATTCTATTCGCGTGTGAAAATTTTTATTTTTATTTTAAAAATTAGCGTTTAGTTAACAACCATTTTGCTTAAATGATAAATTGATTATGTAATAATGATATAATAAAACATCCATGTAGAGTATAATTAACTTGTCACATTCATAATACTACTAGTAATAATGATAATAGTAGTATTGGTAGTAGTAGTAGTAGTAGTAGTAGTAGTAGTGAGGTAGCAACGTAGAAAAAAAACAACTGTTGATAGATTATTTTACTTATCATTATGTATCTAAATGCATGAGAGTTAGAAAAAGTGATAGGAAGTATGAATAATACCGGGAGGAAGATATAAAGATTGATAAATAGATAAACAACTAGATGATATAATCAGTTTCAATATCTCAAGGGGTGTTTGTGAATATTATAGTAATTTCAATAGTTGAGATCATGAGTCAATTGAAGCTAGACCACTATGAAAACCCTGGAAATAATAAACGATCGTTATCTTATATTGTAGGACTCCTTAGTAGTGAGCAACCATGATCCTGACTAGAGAGGTTTGAACCTAGGGCCTTTGATCTCATGCGCGAACACAACCATTAAACCAGTGAGCACTCATTCTATGGTGCTAATGTCTAACTCTAACTAATCCACGAAATTGGGCCACACATCCACCATTGTCTTCAGTCAGTTACTATCTCACAACAAACCTGGTTAAACTCCACTGGTGACGGCTTCTCACTAGAACTCCAGGAGTATCTACTGAAGTCAGTCACTTGTGAAAATGTTCCCTTCAGACCATAGAATTGAAATTCAGTCGTTCATAGTTTCAGCTTCACTACATTCTTAATACAATGAAGCAACAGTTTTCAACTTTTCAAGTTATAATTAATGTAGTTACATTCATTTTACTACCAGTTTGTTGGTTTTATTGAGTATAATAAAAGTTGCCTAATGGCTAATCATGAAGCTTAACATGTACGTTTTTGGTCCTTCTTGGGACTCGTCATCTGAATCAACTACTCTCATTTGTATATTTATGTTATTTTAATGAGGTAATTTGTTGAGAAATTTGAAACTACAATGAATTGACTACATAGTTATTACTAATTCAATTGATGGATTACTCTGAAACTTACATTGGTTAACATAAATTCTCACTTATTATAGTGGTTAAAGCAACATGTAATCATGCGTATTCATATAACTATCCCATAAACTAATTACTATGACCCTCATAGAAGTACTCACAGTGTGGTACATATCTTTGATTGCTTCAACATTTCCTTTTCATCCTATTCACTGGAAATTAAGAGAAGTGATCATTTGTTAAAAGGTGTTATCAGAGTAAAACTGATCATAAATAATCACAAATGAATATGATTGTCAGTTAATCATTGTTTCATAATTTCATAATTCAATCCTATAATCAAATATTCATTTAACATTTAATGATTTGGATCATTGTGTTGTTGATAGGTTGATTGAATTTTGATCAATCTTAATTGACATATATGAATTCTATGTAGATTATCTTGATGGACATGAACTTGGTAACTAGATAAACGATACATAGGTATCTGAAGCAAAAATTATTGTGTTTTAATCCTGAAGTCAGTATCAAATCACCTGAGATATATAGACACATCTAACTGACGAGTCCAAAGTAGGACGAAACTCGTACACACACATACACACACACACATTGGGATTCCATTTATTCTGTATAAACTAAGTATTATAGTCATGATTAATTTTCTATAATTCTTCATGAGAAAACCAGTATAAAAATTGAATAAACCTTTACAAATTACTCATCAGTGACCAATTAGATTTCTAGACAGATTTCTAAATCATAAACAAAGATAGATGGTGGCTAGTAGTGGAATCTAGGATAAACAGGTGCATCTAGTCGATTAGTCCCAAATAAAATTAAACACACGTCCTGGATTCCACTGCCAGCCACCATCATCTCCGCTTATACTATTTGTGACTTAAGGCAATATCGAAGTGATCCGCACAGGGTGTACATATACCATTAAGAGACTGATCAATTCCAGTCGTAAACACCAATGAGAAGATACAAACAAACAATAAAAAATGAATTTAGATTTCTAAATTCCTACTAAAAAGTTATAACTATCAGTCTTAAACCTTTCAGATTGACATGACAGAATGTAAACCGCAACAAAATTAAGTCATTGTAAAAAATTGATTCTTATGACACTACAAATATGTGTCCTCATAGTAAGTATAATGTGTGCTACTGATGTCGACAGATATAACTAGTATGTATCATCCACCGAAAGTCAAACACCTGACAGCAGAAGGTTAATAAGATCAAAGAAAAGAGACGACCGAGAACAGTGCAGTCTATGACGATTGACTGACATTTTACAAATGAAGTATTTACTGTATGGTTCTTAGATGATACCGTAATTTGAGTGTTCAAATACATTTACTTGTCCCCGTTTGTGTTCTCGTTCAGGACATAAGTTATTGATTACGTAAAGTTACATTAATCGTATAGAAACAGTGATGTATCCATTGATCATTTTGATTTATTGCCGAAGTCGAATAAGTCCATATCAACAGTATTTATGTTTTTAATACGTGTCGTCAGATTCAGCGTTCTCACCTATTATACACAAGTTAATTATGTATTGAATAAACATAACAGAGACTGAACGAATCAAATAGTTCCTACCTACCTATCGACCGATTAACAGATTTTAGTGACCAAAATCACAAATGTAAACTGTTGACCTGGAACTCATAATGTTAATAAGAAACTTGTCTCTATGTAAGATATGAATATTCATAAATTGGAATTTTAGAATTTTGAACAATTATGTATCATGAAGTTGTATTTGACCGAATGTGCACCGCTGAGGAGTCCCACAATAGGACGAAACGGCCGTTCAATGCTTCCAAGTTTTGCATGGTGGTCTAGCTTCAATTTACTCAATGATCTCAACTGTTGAAATTACTACAATCTCCACAAAACCCCTTCTGATATGAATAAATATTGTCAATAGCTTTTACTGTTCGTAAATTATATTGGCATTAGATGGCCCCTTTGTCTTAGTTTGGGTCCGATCAACAGTATATATTTATGACCTTGTAGTCGGGAATCTAACCCAAGACCTTAGATCTCTCATGCGAATGTTTACTACATAGTCCACTAATTCCGCATCCAGTGGTGTTAATGTCTGACTTCAAGCAACTAGTTATAAACTTGTTGCTTAGTTTTGAATCATAAATGACTTTTTTGACCAGAATGAAATTTATTATTTATAGTGAACTGTGGGCTTAATTTCCATCTTTTTATAATCACATGTGTTATAAAGTCTAAATGAACGTGGGCACTTTATTGGTTTACTTCGCATTCTGACTGATGATTTGGAAAAGATGAGCTATGTGTAAACAGTTTTAAAAGATGAAGTAATCCATTGAAAACCTAGAAGTACTGGATAGCTGTTTCGTTCTTGTATGAGATTTCTTATTAGTGCGCATTCATAACTCAGCATCATGGAATTTATAATCTATACGAAACCTTATGTTGACAATATTCCTCTTTTTTCTCTAGTGACCAACTTTCAAAAATGATTCCTGGAATTCTGATAAGAAGCTGTGACCGGTGGAATGTCACTTCATTTCGTTTTGTGTGCTGGTACAAATAAATTTTCGGAAAAAGCTCTACAATTGTAATTTTATGTGTGACATATAAACATTCATCTAACTCAAAAGGGAAGAGAAATAGTTACAAGCACCATGTGGGGTGTGGAGAAGGTACTCACTGAAGACACTAAAAAATGATCACGCAGTACCATGGATTGACTGAAACTCAACATTAACACCATTAGATCCCGGTTCAATGGTCTCGATGTTGTGTTCGTGTGAGCGACTGATAGATTCGGGGGACCTATAATATTGAAGGTTCCCATGTTAGCATGAAACGACAAACCAGTACTTTCAGGTTTCTGATGGTTGTGTTGCTAAGATCAGTTGACGATTTAAAAACTATGAAAATTATATAATGTCCACAAACCTGTATACTGATAGTTACGACATCGAGGTATATTTTAATGGGGAAGAGGATTCTGAAGATCAACATGAGACTCATAGTGAAGGTTAATCACACGAAAGTGTTATTTCCCAAATTCAGTGTGTGAACAAATTAGTACTATTTAACAGTACGAAATGAAATAAACAAACACGTTACTACTAACTAATAAATAAGCAGTAGTATATATTGTTCTCAAATTGTTGTAAACTATTCATTAAAATTAATAACTTACCAGATTTTTTCATACCAGCTAATAAACAACGTGATAAACGACATGCTTGACATTGGTTACGTCTTTGTGCATCGACTGGGCATTGTCCACCAGATCTACATATATAATTGGCTGATTTACGTACAGAACGTTTAAAAAAGCTTTTACACCCTTCACATGTATACTGACCATAATGTTTACCGCTGCTTCGATCACCGCATACCTTGAAAATCAATAAAACATTCGTTGATCAAATTTATTATAGACAACAGTAGAATAATAATTTTTACTGAAAGGTACAGATGGTTTCGCAGTACTGTGAATTGATTAACGTTAAATAAATAATTCATTGGATGCCATCTCAGTGGCGGCACACATGCTCTTGCTGTGTATATATTATCAGAAGGAAGTTTTGTAAAGATTTTAGTAAGTTAATAGTTGAATTCAGGAGTTAATTAATGTTAGACCACCATGAGAACCTGGAAGCACCGAACGGCCGTTCCGTCCCAATGTGGGACTCCTCGGCAGTGCACATCTACGGTCCTGCACTTGGCGTTCCAACCTAGAATTTTCTGTCTCGTACGCACAATACTGTTGGCATTATTTGATTATTCTTCATTTGAATCTGATGTAAAGTATGTACATTAGTTGCAAATACCTGGTATTATTGTTTCTAGGTTATAAGTAACAGCTGATGAGGATCCATAACACTGAAATTAAGTCATCTCATTCTGCTAATCTCTATATTTTTGCTTTCATAAAATCTATCATTGAGAAAAATTATAGTATTATTAGTAGTTTGTGTAGTGTGGTGTGTGTTACTGATGTCGACAGATACAAGTAGTATGTAGCTCCAATCAGAAATATAATGGCTGTCGACAGAAGGTTGAGTAAATCGAATAGAAGAGAATGAGAACAGAGAGTGATTGGTATGGAAATGAGGGGACAATAAAATCTGAAACAAATGATGAATATTTTGCAAATGAAGTATTTCCTGCATAGTTTTCAGATTTTATAAAGAGATTCTGTAATTTTGTGTTGAAATACATTTGGTTGTCCCTATCTGCATAGTAGTGGTACGATTAGTAATGGTTGTAACCAAACTTATGTATTTAAAAAGATAAAATTAGAATTCATTCATTACACATTGGTAAATTCTATTTCCAGTCATTCCATTTTCTCTTACAAACTCCCTTGTTTGTACATTCTTGATGCTATCCGAACTTTTTTGTTTCCCTTTCTCTTCTTCGAATCTTCTCTTCTGTCGGTAAGAATCCCACTTTCAATTTTCGATACATACAACTTATATCTGTCTGTATAAGTGACATATACCACAGTAGTAGTAGTAGTAGTAGTAGTAGTAGTAGTAGTAGTAGTAGTAGTAGTAGTAGTATTGGTAGTAGTAGTAGTAGTAGTATTGGTAGTAGTAGTAGTAGTATTGGTAGTAGTAGTAGTAGTAGTAGTAGTAGTAGTAGTAGTAGTAGTAGTAGTAGAAGTAGTAGTATTGGTAGTAGTAGTAGTAGTAGTAGTAGTAGTAGTAGTAGTAGTATTGGTAGTAGTAGTAGTAGTAGTAGTAGTATTGGTAGTAGTAGTAGTAGTAGTAGTAGTAGTAGTAGTAGTAGTAGTAGTAGTGGTAGTAGTAGTAATATATTTGATACGAACATTTAATAACTTTCAATAGTTGGAATCATGAGTCAATTGAAGCGAGACCACCATGGAAAACATGGAAGCACTGGACGGACGTTTCGTCCTAGTACGAGGCTCCTCAGCACTGCGCATCCACGATCCTACCTTATCATGTTCGAACCCAGGACCTATCAGTCTCGAGCGCGAGCGCTTAACTATTAGACTACTGAGCCGGCATCCGACAGTGTTAGTGTCTAACTTTAACAAATCCAATACATTGCGCCACCGTACACCATTGTCTTCAGTGAGTTGATATCTCATAACAGACCTGCTTGAACTTCACTGGTAACGGCTACTCACTAGAACTCCAGGAAATGCCTCTTGAAGTCAGTCACTAGTCAGCAGATGATTATTCTTACACAACTTTGTTGTGTAATGAAACAAAATTTCAACTTGAGACAAGAAATTTTTTCATTATCTTAGATTATATCACAAATCAAGGCTAGAAATAACATTAACTTACTTGACATAAATGCTGAATATCATCAGTACAATTGCTGGAGGAGACATCTTCACTCTCTTCAACTGTATCGTTGATATCATCCTCCTCCTCCTCCTCCTCCTCATCATCATCATCATCATCATTATTCTTCTCATCGCCGTCATCATCATCATCATCTTCTTCTTCAACACCAGAATTACAATTAATAGTATCATTCAATTCAGTACTTTTATAAATTTTATTACGTTTCATTAAAGTTTGTTTATTAGGAATTAACAAAGCTGAGTTTTTAGAATTTACCGTTTCTATCAATCCATAGGTTACTGAACTTGATCCATCAGTGTGTTTCGAAAATTTATTATTATTATTAACACAAGTATTGTTACGATAATGATACATTGATGTAGGCTTTAAATCATACAATGGGGATTTCAATTGTGAATTAAAATGTTGTATATAATTCAAATGATTGGAATATTTCACTTCATTTACAATTGGTGTCTGTATTGATGGTGATGACGCTGTCGTCGCTAACGATGCTAACGATGTTCCCAATGTAAATGATGATGATGATGATGATAATAATGACGATGGTATGAATTGATTTTCTATGGAAGGGTATACAGATTGAATCATTGATGGTTCACATTTAAAATGTTGATAAGTAAAGTTATTATCATTATTATTATTATTATTATTATTATGTATTAATGGTAAATTCGTTGGAATACATTCTCTTGAATGAAACATCTCTTTATAATATGGATTTGTTAATGAATTTTCATTATGATAATGTTTTTTTTGCATATTCATGGGAGATTTAAATTCCATTCTATACTTATGAAGATTAGTAATTAGTTATGATTAAATAGTTCTATGATTGAATTATTATTATTACCATCATTATCAATCGATTGGACCAATCAAAAAACAGGAATTTACGCATAGCAATCTGATTGGTCAATTTCTGAATCACCCCTTTCTAAATGTTCCTATTATGAGTAAACAATTATAATGTGATTTCAATGGTTAAGATCATGAGTCAGTTGAAGCTAGACCACCATGGAAAACCTGGAAGCACTGGACGGCCGTTTCGTCCTATTGTGGGACTCCTCAGCAGTGCACATCCACGACCTCGCCCCCTGCGAGATTCGAACCCAGGACCTACTGGTTTCGCGCCCGAGCACTTAACCACTAGACCACTGATCACAAATAGTAGAGTATGAATAGATTACATGAGAAATTACTGATTATACGGAGTTATATATATTACTAATCACAGAAGTAATTAAGTAGTATATTGTTATTAAATGTATTATCTAGTTGACTAAGCGCCTGGCACGAGACTGATAGGTCTTGGGTTCGAATCCCACGGGGCGGGGTCGTGAATGTGCACTGCTGGGGGTCCCATAATAGGACGAAACGGCCGTCCAATGCTTCCAGGTTTTCCATGGTGGTCTAGCTTCAATTGACTCATGATCTCAACTGTTGAAATTACTACAATCGTCACAAAACCTTTTCTAATACAAATGTATTATCATTATAATGATAAACGGATCATTGTTCCGTCAAATATGATTTTCTTTATAGACTGACATCAGTTAGGTATTTTTTCCTAGTGAGAAACTTATCAATAGTGATCACATATGCTCTTATTGACGGACTCAAAGTTCTTGGAATTAATTTTTTCACAGGTTCGCGGTTATGCACTAAATATGTTGTCTCTTATTAGGATGAAACAACTCTCCAGTGATTACTCTGTTGGCAGTAGTTATCCATGTTTAAAACTATAATTATTATGAGTTAGTCTCCATGGTAGTAATAGAAATATGAATACGAGTTTTGATTCACCTAGCACTTGTCAACTAAATATACCTACGTCATGCTATTGATATTCACCTAGAAACTTAGTAGTTTAAACGTTAATACATTTTAGACTAATATAATGAGTCCAGTTAACCACTTACCTGTTCAACCGGTATGAGGTTTTGATCGTAAATGTTTATGATTTTAGATTGTTGTTATTATTATAAAACACTGTAATTGACTAGTCAATTCAACCTTATTAAAATACAGTTATCAACATGCAAAAAGTGGAAAGAAATATATATATAGCCAGACACAATCAGCAACAACCTACTGTGGGAGATAACAAACCAGACAAACATTGAGAAAAGCACGCAACTGCGTCACAAAGCAAGCCCTCATTTGGAATCCTCAAGGCCAACGGAGAATAGGAGGATCAAAGAACACATTACGCCGAGAAATGGAGACAGATATTAGAAGAATGAACAACAATTGGATAGAATTAGAAAGTAAGAGCAGGGACAGAGTGACTTGGAAATTGCTAGTCGGCAACCTATGCTCCATTGGGAGTAACAGGCGCAAGTAAGTAGTGAACTATAGACATCGAATTATCAATTATAATCAGGACGGAAGAACATTTGAAATCAGATTGTATTATCATCATTATCAACACGAGTCAAAATATTAGGGACAATTTTTATCGTTTAAAACAGACTCGGAAAAATGACAGATACAGTAGGCTCACAAGTCGGTTTAGTAGGAGTAACAACAAGGAAGTGTAGCGGAAAATATAATTCGTGTAGTGAAATTATATAACATATTACGAAGTTATCCAGAAAGAACAAACCAAGATACACATAATATATAGCAGATTGCATGAAGTTGAAAACTAACATCAATGGAAGCTGAAATAGAAGTTAAGATATTAAAAGCTGGATAGCGAAATCGAAGTTGAAGTTCGACAAATTGTATCAAGGGTCAGGATGCATATTACGAATGACGAGTGTCAAACTACAACGAATCACATCTTCAATGCTCACACGTTCTCAACGCTCATTCACATTCATTGATTCGTATTATCAATGAAAATACATAGTCACATCACTCAAATAATCCAACTCAATCAAACTACATAGATTCACAAACAGTTTGATTACAAACATACACTGACTGAGTAAATCAACAAACACAAATACATAGTAGCTGATGAGTCCCACTATAATATACAGAACGAAGTAGAGGTGTGCAAATTGGGAAAGACTAACTAACTTACAACGTATTATTGGACAAGTTACAATTGAGGACTAGTGAAATTCATTCTAATTTACAATGAGTAAGTAGATCCTTGCAAATCATCACCATTCTCAATCACTTCCAAATAACATCTCGTCCATACATACTCAAATAATACCCAAACACACATATTTCAATTATGAAATCATTACAATGAACTCCGTAATCATAAGTAGGAGGATTGTGTGGTCACCATGGTGGTAAGATTCATGCTTCATTTTACTACTACAGTAGATGTTCAGTTGGAAAGTGTGAACACATTGCTACAAATTGAAACAACAACAACAACAACATGCATAATAATTTCCAATCGATTAAACCAGGTAGAATAGATTGATGAGTAGGTGAAGTAGTAGTGATAGTAGAAGTAGCTGTAGGAGTAGTTGTTGTAGGAGTGGAAGTAATAGTGATGGGTACAATATTCATTATTATATTGTGAATTACAGTTATGTTTGAATGGAATGAATAGATTTCCATCAACAAGAAAATCGTTACATGACATAGTGATGAGTGAATGTCTCAGTCCAGTAATGTCTCTTCACTATACATACAATCTGATTGCATATCCATACACATGCACATACACATACACATATATTATATGTGAACACATGTTAATATGAAAGTGACCAAGTAAACAACCAGTCAGTCAATCAGTGATTTGTACTCAATTCTTGATCGGATTTAGATACAACTAAATAGACGAAAATTACTCATGATTGTGTTCATCATTGTAATGCCTCTCATCACACACACACACACACACACAAGCAAACTTAGCAATGTTCCAAAAAATATACATGTACATAAATACTGAGATTCGAACACGCCTCAATGATCACACAGATCTCAACTAGTATTTCAATAACCATCTATCTATCCATCTGTCTGTCTGTCTATCTGTCTATTTAGCTGTAAGTAGAATCATCACATTCACAACACTTCCATTCAAATATTCTCCATCACTCGTGTTCATGTTGTCACCATGTCGAGGATCTGTGTGCTGATAAACTCTCACAACTCTTGATAAATAGATATAAACGGTAGTGGGATTTGCAGTGTTCATCAGACAATGTCGACCACTCTCTGTGTTCACAATCATTAGAACAGTAACTCGTCACTGATTCGATGAACTAATGTGTAATTTCAATAATTGAAATCATGATTTAATCGAAGCTAGAACACCATAGACAACATGGATGCACTGGACGGCCGTTTCGTCCAAGTATGGCAGTCCACTTCTGATAAGCTAATGTGGAATTGCCACATTGCATAACAACACTCACTCTGGTCAATATTCGTTGTCACATTTGCGTTTTGTGATTGTACACTCATACCTACATACATACCTAAATGAAGGAAACTCATTGTTCTGTTCACCAACATCAAAGTGAACATCACACTAAATACGTTACCTTCCTTCACCTCTCATAACATCACTCAATGCACACTCACACACATACACACAAATATGTCACACTGATTTTCTCAACAGAATCAATTCATATTGAATGACATCACTGTAATCCTCTCCAATAATACATCATTCTGAATGATGAAAATCGATTACGAGAGTGGATTACGACAAACAATCAGGAATTCTCAACTTATAGGTAACACTTTGCATTCTCACATTACTTATCCAACCGTCAACTACTGTGTGTTCCTGGCAAGTCAACTTCATGATACACAGTTAACTTGTGTGTGAATGTGCATGAACGTGTGTGTATTGGTGGAGATGATTCACACTAACCAACCGACCAAACCGATATATATGTGAATGAGAGTTCCATGATGAGATCTATTGTGTTGAGAACACAGTGATTCAGTCACAATCACTAATACACATACAGAGAATAAACAATCATATTGATGATTGTGGATAACATCTACTCCATTTGTCTAGTAACTCAAATCACATCTCACATATCATTTACAAGATGGTTTGAAGAAGAGAGATACAGAGATACAGAGAGTGTGTGTGTGAGTGTGAGGGCGTAGTGATGGTTGTGATGAGAATAATTCATCATCAGAATATGATTTGTCATTAGAAATGTTCCACAAATCAATTCACTTGTTATTCACTATTCACAATCGTCTTATCAACTCACTACTAACAGTAATATCCATTTAATCATAATAATGTTACATTAGTATTGATGATTAGTAAAGGAGAGATAGTTTTACCGGAAGTTAAGATAACAGGCATAAATGTTTATTTGTAATTATGTTCAAGATGAACAACTCATTCATTGACTCATTGGCTAAATTGATTTGAGTTTATTGACTAGTATTTCTTCCTTAATTGTTCTTATTATTCAGTATGGATCTGCTGATATTCGTATTGAATAGATTAAGTGATTAACAATGGATTTCAGCATGTTTGTATTATCTTATTAGGAACTCTTCTGTTAAACATACTTTGATCTTCATTTAGTTGTTCATAAACATTATCACTGATGGTAACCGTAGATGGACTATAGGCTGAATTATGTAACTATGAGTTGTAAATAGGTAACAAGTTTTATTTCTATTGTTTATTTAATTATTTAATATTAATTTCAGTGGTTGAGATCATGAGTCATTTGAAGCAAAACCACTATGTAAAACACGGAAGCACTTGAAGGCTGTTTCGTCCTATTGTGGGACTCCTCCGTAATGCGCATCCACGATTCCAACCGAGAGATTCGAACCCAGGACTTATAAGT